TATAGGTTATTGATTCAAAGTAAGCTGAGCAATGATCATGCTGCTTGTAGGAGATGACTAAACAAGTCAATGATGGAAAACATCTTTAGTAATTTTGAAAAAATTGGCATAGATATTGTAACTAATTTTGAATTGGATAAAAATTCAACAATTTAAACGACTAAACATATAACATGTATAGAGCACAAATAAGCAAAACATTTCAATACACTTCCACCCCAAACTTTAAACTTGACATTTTCCTCAATGGACTAAAACATAGGCGAGCAATGAAAGGAGTGGGGCAATACCTCATTTGCTTTTATTTATCGAAGCATAAATAAATGATAGGTTAAGAGTATCTCACCTTCATTGTTTTTAAAGAGATTCTAAATAAGAACCAAAAAAATAATAATACAGATAGTGGTGAGAGCTTATGCTTAATCTCTTAGTTAAGGAAAAATAAACAAAAAAAAAAAAAAAATTCCCATCAAGTAAGAGAAAAGAAACTTCTACTGGTCACCTCCTTCCCTTACATGCCTAGGAAGGATATTGTTGAACCTCTGGTCAAACTCCTGCATCCAATCTCATAAGCTCTACAACATCTCGAAGCTCTGCCTCTGCTGCTCTGTCAAAGTTCACTGTTGTGTCTCCATCAATACTCTCCAAGCTCGAGTCTCCTCTATCTCATCTCTATGATCATGCTCATAAGCATTCTAGCGCTACTCGTTGTACTGATGGTACTGTAGTAGGTTCTCCTTCTGCATCGGTATACTCTCGTAGATATGTCATGTCTCCCACATATGCTCCATACTCTTGCTTCGGTGGTGCTGAAGTAGATGAGCTAGCCTACTCTCTTGGTCTCTGATCTTGTACTCTAATCAAGCGCACGACTGCCTTCCCTGTAGCAGTCCAAGCAGAATGAGTGAGGTAGTCTTCCTCAGTGAGGTCTACTCCAACAGATGACAACCTTTCTACTCCAAAGGGTAGGTAGGTTGTCTATTGCATACCAGAAACTCACCACACCACAAAACAAATAACGAATACCTGAAAATTGAAAGTTGACCACAATGTTTTGAAGCGGACCAGAATACTCACAAAACTGACTACAAATATTATGAAGCAGAATAAAAAACTCAGACTAGACCATAAATATGACAAACCCCATATGACACCACAAAACTAATAATGTAACCAAAAATTCATAAAACATACCAGAAGCTCACCGCACCACAAAACTCATAAATCTGATCGCAAATATCATGAAGTAGACCAAAAAGTTCAAACCAAACCAAAAAAACTCATAAAATAGACCATAAACTTCTTAAAGTTGCAAAAAATGTAAAAGTGAGTGCGATAGATGATTAAGCCCACTAGTAGTCAGATCTTGAAGATAACACTATGTACACACTAACCCAGTAGAGTGGAAAATAGCGGAACGGTTGTTGAGCCATCGGAGTGCCTTTCCCGTCAAAGAATAGGGGAAGAGCTTCAATAGCAATGGCTCCTCGGGGACGCCATTTATCTTTAAGCTTTCCGCTAGTTCAAGAAACCATTGGACGTGCTCTCATGGTGATTCATGAGCAAGTCCGTGGAAGTAGGCATTTTGTTGAATCATCGTCACAAGAGAGGGCTTGATCTCAAAGTTGTTGGCGGTCACGGGTGGATGTAAGATGGGATATAGGATATCCTCCGCCCGTGGAGCCATGTAATAGCTCATAGTCCTTAGCCCTTTCTCGGCTCCCGCTTCTCTATTTGGGTTTGGAAGCGGATTAGCCCCTCGGTGTTGATTGCCCACCATCTCAACTTCAACTTCTTCTTCAACTACTTCAATTCCGTGATCAACTTGTTGTCCCCTTTCTTCACTTCTCCTTCTTGCCTCCGCTTGCTCCCTCTCTCGAGCTAGTAGTCGGAGGGTCCGGTTGATGTCCTCGTCCAGTGGTGTCAAAGGCATCAGATTGTTCCGGGTCATGCACCTCCCTACACACACTCAAAGAGCACAACACGTCTAGCACAAGCAAACACTTCACAACTTAACAAAAACAAAAATTAAAAGCTAGATTAACACCAAACAAACTTTTCACGATAACGGACCGAAGTCCCCTGCAACGGCGCCAAAAACTTGACTCGCTGTGACTATGACAATAAAATCCCACCTAAGGTCCAAATATAAACCTTAGATGGGTGCTATATAGGTCAAGTATGTTTTAGACCTTTGTTTTCACCAAAACCAATCCGCTAGATAATGTTTCAAACAGTCGAAGTAGCGGTACATAGACTATATAGGTCAAGTATGTTTAAATATCGACCCGGGCCGGTCTATGTACCGCTACTTCGACTGTTTGAAACATTATCTAGCGGATTGGTTTTGGTGAAAACAAAGGTCTAAAACTAAATTGCTTTGCAAAGATAAAATGGATTTAACACTAGTTGAGAAAGCTTCACCGGGTGTTGCTCTCCCTAGCTAACAATTATGACTTGAAGAATCGAACGCCGTGTGTGGTTAGAGGGTCATAAACCGCAAGGAAGTCTAACAAGCAGCCAAAGCTACCCTCTTAGTTTCTAGGTTGAGGAATGAGATACGATCCAAGCCTTTAATGAGACCCTCTCAACCTATCAACTAAGGAATGGTTAGACTTCACCCTCAAATAGGAGTTCGGACGGCCACCCACAACCAAACCCTAAGTGCTAATGCGAAATAAGAGGTATGCCCTTTAACTAACCTAGAATAGTAGGGATAGAATGCCCAAGGAAACCCATCTCTAATAGTGCCTCTTAAGTTAAGGAGGGTTCTCTCTAAATTAGCTTAGGACGCATTGAATGCCCAAGGAAACCCATCTCAAAATGAGCCTCTTAGGTAAAGTAGGGTTCTCTCTAAACTAGTTTAGGAGGCATTGAATGCCCAAGGGAACCCGGCTTGAATCGAGCCCCTTTTGAGTGAAGGCGGTTTCGTCTCTAAACTAGCCTAGGAGGCATGAAATGCCCAATAACACCCATCTCAATATTGAGCCTTTTATCCTAAGAAGGTTTCCTCTCTAAACTAGCCCAGTTACATGAAATGCCCAAGAACACCCATCTCAAATTGAGCCTCCTAACCTAAGGAGGTCTCCTCTCTAAGCTAGGTTAGAATGACAATTAGATTGATAGGCTTTCACACAACACAATCATTTCTGAATAATACCTTCACATTCACATTAAAACACAACCACACACAAATCATTCAATTCATACAAGCATTCACATAATTGTAGTTGGGGTTTACAAAAGAAAAGGGAAAACACAAGAGAGGGAAAGAGAAACCATCAAGAAGATGCAATCCTTGCTCCTTGTGCTGAATAAATCCTCATTTAGGGAAGGAATTCCCAAAACCTTGCTTGGAGATGAAACCCTAGTTTTCCCTCTTCTTTGGTTCGTCACTTTCTCACTTATAAATCTGAAAAAGGAGAAGTTTCTCACACTAGGTCTCTCCCTTTCTTCTTCCTTTCAGCTTTCCTTTTAAGTTGTGATCGCGCCCAGTTCACGGCCTGAGTTCACGACCGTGAACTCAGTGCTGCGAACAAAATGCACCGCTTCATTTGCTCGGGTTCACGGTCAGTGGCCTCTATTGACGGTCTTAGCGACCGTGAACAGCCTGGGCGTCAGTAACCTGAAAAGAGAAAACCCCCTCTGTTTCCTCATCGCTTCACGGGTCATGGCTCCAGTTCACGGTCCTGTAAGACTGTGAACTCCAACGTCTAGCCGTGAACAACGACTATCTCCACTCTTTGCCCGGTCTTTGCTCATTTTCTTCCAACTTTCGACTCCGGGTTTGGTTTTACCTGTTAGGATCTGAAACACACTGAAACACAAACAACATCGCGTAAAACCAACCTTTTTGGACTTCAATTGCAACAAATGTCAAAGAGAATCGGGGGATAAAAAGTGTACAATTAGACCCGAATCACCCTCCGCTCCACAACAACTACCGCAACTACCTGATCCTCTTCATCTTCCTGGTGCACCAACATCTTCTTCTCCTTCACTCGCCAGATCGCTTCCGCCGCCATATTGGACTGGTTGAGTCTCTCCCCGATTTTAGATATGCGCTTAGCATATGGCGATTCAGCCTCAATTTCTAGTCTGCGACTCTTCTCCACAAGACGGTGGGCATTGGAACTCGAGCTCCCTGTCATTTCTCTATTATCGGCTAGGGATTTGTTAAGGAGATAATTTGTTTTGCCCATTAGTTTGTTCCTCTGGCCTGAATCTGGCTAGGTTTTTCCTTAAATCCAGATCTTTGCAGTCGACAAAATAAGATCCATCAGCTTTCGAGAATCCCATTTCTTACCTCAAGAAGGAGCGGGCGGTTTCAATGGAACCCACTACCGCTATTGTTCTATTTGCGTTTCTTGTTGCTTCTAGTATTCCAATGAAGTCGACGCCACCGCAACAGAATAAGAAGACGACGAGCGAGCAGCGGGGGTTGGCGAAGAAGGGAGCATTAGTGAGAAGGGTAATTGTGGTGTGCTGAATATCAGGGGTGATTAGGATGTTTGGTGTTGTTTCGGGATTGGATTTTTGGTAGTTCTGCTTCCTGCGCAAAGGTGACGGACGAGAAGAAAGGGTAGGTTTAGGTGTTTATAGAATAATAGGAAATTAAGTTTTATTTTTATTTTTTAATAGTTGTAAAAATGAGGTGAAATTGTAAGGCCCTGTTCACTTCCATTTTCGTTTCCCGTTTTCTGTTTTCATGTGATAAATTTGGCAACCGAAATGAGAAAACTTGTTTACTTTTCATTCTGTTTTCTATTCGTTTCCAACTGTGAAAACAGAAAGTGGCAACTTCCTGCTGTTTTCAGAAACGACAAAATGTTGTTTTCACCTGTTTTCAACATCTGTTTTCTCAAAAAACAGAAAACAGAAATGAAAGTAAACATGCCCTAAATGTTTGAATTTTATTAGTTAATATTTTTTAATGGCTACATCACTCATTTTACGGTCCACTATAAAAGTTGACTGCCACATCAGCAAAAATTAACAGAGAGTGACCAAATTTGAACTATTGAATTAATCTTAGTGACCATAAATGAAATTAAATATTTGCAGTGACCAAACTAGATCGTTTTTAGTAAACACAATGACCAATCTTGCAATTTACTCCAAAACAAAACAAAGAAATCCCTAAATCCTAAAAGCCTCGCTCATACCACGAATACCAACTCTAAATTGTGGAATCTACCAGGAGCAGAGATATCTACTGGATGCATGCACCTTTCGGGTCTGCATTCTTGATTATCCATGGATGATCCATAAGCTTCTTAAGAGAGAGACGCTTAGCAGAATCCTTCACAAGAAGCTGCAATGCCATTTACAGGATTCCATTACCTTCATCAATACATGCTAATGCTCAAAATATGAAGAGTTTGAATGTATAGAAACTCACTCTGCTAATTAAGTCTTTCGCTTCCTTCGAGACTGGAGGATTAGGCGGGAAGCTAAGATCAACCTTCACGATCCTGGAATTTCAGGGTTCACAAGTCAATAAACAACTGTCTAATGCAGTTAGAACAACAGAAGGTTAAAACCCCTTTTTTTAACCTTTTGAACGTATCATGCTGCATCGCAGCTTCGAAGGGAGGAGCACCGTAGAGGAACTCATAGCAAAGTACACCTAGCGTCCAGTTATCAACTGTATAATCGTGAGCCTTGTTTTCGACCAGCTCTGGAGCTAGATAATCCAACGTTCCACACATGGTGTGCCTCTTGCTTCTCGATTGAACCGACCACCCAAAATCCGCAATCTTCAAACGGCCCTGTAACAATGGTGGAGAATTAGTAAATTGAAGACTATCCATAAACTGTTCGCCATAGGAGAACTACCGTGCCATTAGGAATCTCAAGGCACCACAAAGAAACTACAGAATTTTGTACTCTTATGAAAGAAATCAACCTTAGAAACGGAAACAAACTGCACAACGAAGCTCAAACATCCCGCTACAAATATAGACTACAAGCTGCAGCTCACTTTGTAAAGAACGACTGCCTAGTTTCTTCTGGTAAATGCAAAAATAAATTCATTCAAACTCCGAATCAACTTTTGGCAGTTGCAACAACGAAAACCCAATTGGAATTAGCACAATTTACGGCTGAACTTTTAGCAGAAAGAGCTCAATTTTGGAAAAAATCCCAGATGCGGATTCCTTCTAGAAAGCGAAATCCAGACATACATTAAATTTTGTACCTCATGATCCAGCAAGAGATTCTCCGGCTTAATGTCTCTGTGAATCACATCCTGTGAATGGCAATAAGCCAAGGCGTTCGCGAGACTGGCAATATACTGAAATACAATAACAATGGCCGAGGCAGAAAAGTTAGAAACCCTAACGAGCTCCGAGTACAAGAAACACAGCCAGATAAAGAAAACTGAAATTGAATTGTGCTGGATCATCACCGTTGCAGATTCTCTCTCCGTCAAGTGGCCGCGCTCCCTCAGCACGCCATAGAGCTCACCGCCATGAGCGTACTCGAGTATAAGGAAAATTCGGTCGTCGTCATCGAACCAGCCATAGAGGCGTAGAACGTTGGGATGTTTGAGGGTGGACTGAATCTCCATCTCTCTCCGTAACTGGTGATGGATACGATACTTGTCAATTTGTTCCTTGAAAAGCACCTTCAACGCCACAATGTACTTGCTCTAGAAATTCAACCAAGTAAATCTCTACTGTAAGTAATTAATCTCCATGGAGATTTTCTACAAAAACAAGCGCGAGAAAGTCTAATCAAAAGAAGACGAGTGAATTGAGTTTACCTTGACTTCTCGAGCGACATAGACTCTGCCGAATTTTCCTCTTCCCAGAGGTCTCCCGATTTCGAAGTTCTTCAACGACCACTGCCCGTATGCGGCGGCATTTTTCTCCGACTGATTACGAGCTTCATCATTTGCCGACGAAGACGCCTTCGGTTGATTGTGAGTTTGACCGATCATCTCTAGCTTCCGTCGCCGGAACCAAAATGTCAGTTGGGGAGAGAAGGCATGTTGACTATAACCGTTTTGAAATTGGAATTTTGAAAATCACACTCGCCCTCTTTTTACCATGATAAAGAAATCGTACCGAACATCATACCGGATTTCTTTCTGGTAGGATATTTTGTGGTACGACCATGGTTCAATCGTTTTATACCGGGAAATACCGTTTATATAATAAAAAAATATTTTTTATAAAAAAATTGTGTCGACAAAATCAGGATACCGTTTCGGAATAATATCGGATGTATCGGAATATACCTGACAATTTTTTAGCAATTTGCAAATGAGCACCAAATCATATACATGTTGAAGAGAGTTTTATTGGAAGAATATAACTTTATTGAGCAACGTGCAACGACGTACTAACCCTTTATTAAGGGATAGCTAACTTTTATTTTAACAAAGGCAAAATACACATGGATAGCCCTAACTTTACACTTTGTGACAATAATAGACAATTTTAAAAAAATACACAGATATAGCCAGATTTTAAAATTATGTTTGACAAATTTAGTCATTTTCTTTAAAAATATTAACAGCGTTAGAGGTGCCGTTAACGTCCGTCAACAATAAGCTGAGGTGACAACTACTAAGCTTTCACATCAACTCTCTGTCCCCAGTCACGTATATACCATGTCAAAATTAAAATATATATTAATTTGAAAATTTATTTCTAACAAATAATTACTAAATTTCCCCTATGAGTTGGGGATTTCTTCCCCCACCCCCGAAATTGGGGATCTCTAATTCCTTCCCCATTTATTGAATCCATCCACAACCGAGCTCGCTGACTACCTGCGGATCTACCGGCCGGCTAATTATCTCCGGCCTTCTCATCCTCACCAACAACAAGCATCAGGTTTCTCTCCCCACCGGCACCGCCGCATGCGTCCCTTCCACATTGGCTTTTCGTCTCTTTCAGCTATTGGCATTCTCCGCCATCTCTGCCGCTGCTGCAACCACGATTGGAGGTAGCTTGAGTGAGAAAGGAGGTGGAGAGAACGACGCCGGAGCTCGGTGACCACCACCGCCATTACTCTTCTCCTTCTTCTCCCTTCACTTAGCTAAGGAGAGCTGGGTCTCGGCGACGACGGGTGGGTGGTGGTGGAGAGGGAGATGGGTTAGTGGAGTCAAGGTCGCCGACTCTGGCGATTCTTCCTCTCGGCGGCATGATCAAAACCATCCGGCATTTCGCGGCAGGCCGATTCCACCGCAAATACCGGCCGGTACGGCAATCTGCCCATATTTAGCTTGTCGTTTTCGGATATGGCCAGGTTTCCGGTTTTCCCGGTTCAACCGTCCGGTCCGATCCGGTATCCTGGACCATGCTTTTTACGAGCATCCAACCCACGTCAAACTTTCATATTTATTTCGTATATAAAAATGTCAATATCAAGATTTGAACTCGAGTCTTTTGTTGTATCATTTTAAATAAAAAAAAAAAACACAAAGTGATACTCTGAATATCGGAGGACATTTCCATCATTATTACCAAACCCACTAAGTCTATCATATTTATTTTATTGTGCTTGATACTACAATTTTTATAGCTGAGTTTCATGTAGTTTTCTCAATTCTAAAATTACTGCTCCCTCCTTAATTTTCGCTTAAGGTAAATTGGTAATTGGCCAACATAGAAGAAACTAATTTTATTACTAAGGGTCGTGTCCTTGCATTTTTTACATTTATATTTGAATTTAGTACCTTCTTTATCTTTGTTCTCATCTCTTTCTAACTTCCTCTGAAATTTTCTCCATCGTAGAGTAGTTTGCGCCCCTTTCACTTCATAGTACAAGGCCGCCTTTGGAAATCAATATTCTGCTATCTCTTCGCACTACGATTTTGTTGTTTGGGATTTAAACTGGGTAAGTAGAAGACTTCAACTCCGATATCAATCCATGACGAATAGAATGAAGTTCAATAAATGGAGTTGCAGATGGAGGATTGGAAATTGAATTTTTGGTTGAAACATACACCTCTTGAAATTGAAGAGTGGATAAAATTTTGATTGTACAACGGTGAGTGGTGGCTATTGGATCTTTAGATTTAGGGCTAATACCACTACAACACCCGAACTATCGCGAAAATGCCACTTGTGTCCTATTGTTTCCAATATTCCATCTGTGTCCTGAACTATGATACTTTGTGTCATTTGTATCCTGTCAATTTCGTTGACCGTTAAAGATAACGGTTGACCAAACGGTGGTCAACGCGAAGTTGACTTTTGTTGACGTGGCAAAAAAAGAGGCTGCCACATAGGTGCCACGTCATTGACCTAATATTTTTTTAATTCAAATTAAATAAAAAAATGATTTAAAATTAAAAAAATGTAAATTCAATTATGTTATTAAACCAAAATTTTAAAACAAAATAATAAAAAACTCTTCTTCTTCTCTACCGATTCACACTCTCCCTCTCTGAAAAATCTCCCAATCCGGCTCAGATGCGCCAACTCGCCAACTCGCCAAAAATCTCCCAATCCGGCTCTGAGAATCTCTCTGAAAGATAACCCAACTCGCCAATCTTTCATCGTGCCGCTACAATGGCCGGAACCCAGAGAATGGGGTTAATTGAAAATCAAAATCCCAAATCCCATCATCGGAGACAGAGGGATTCTCAGCCCATGATTCATGTTCAATGATGGAAGATTTTGGCGATGAATCTAGAGAGGATTTGCTTAGGCGGCGGTTAATCTTCCTACTCTCGCGATCTGGAGAAGAGAAGTCGGTCGCCAGTGGAAGGAGTGATGGTGCCGCCGAGCTACTGGCTCCAATCGATGGGGCGAGCGGCGGGGGGCCTGCCTCTGTCCATTCTGTCTTTGCCTCAGTCTCTGTTCGGGCGATTGGAGAAGAAGAGGAAGGAGCGAGGTCGGCGAGGCACGGCGGGCGAGGTCGGTGAGGCGGGGAGTCGGTGAGGCGGGGGTTGGGGAGGCGCGGGGTCGGCGAGGTCATCGCCGGAAGCGCAGGGTGTCTAAGGGGCGACGGCAGGCGGAATGGGTTGTCCAAATGTTCGACCATATATTCTTTCTTTATGTATCATCTCGATCGAAAGATTATATATAAAATTAAATTGGTTGATAGACTTAAACGTAACATAATAATATAAATAATCAAATAGGAATATTCCGGCCAACGAGCCAGGTTATAAGCTAGTAATATAATAGAAGGAAGGAAAAAACCCTTCTCCCATTTCAAATTTTCTTCTCCATGAGCGTTTGTAGTAAGGTTAGAATAGGCAGTGTCAATTTTTTCTCTCTCCTCAATAAAACGGGCCAACTTACCGTATATCCAGTGTAGTCAAAAGCTTGTTTCTACGTAGAAGCGTTTTGGTGATCCAGAAGCGTAAAACCGTAAGTTTTTAATTTTTAATGGGTAGTTGTAAACTACATTAATTATAAAAATGGAGATTATGCATAAGCTTTTGGGTGACCTAGAAGCGTAAAACAATAAGTTTTTAAGCTTTAAATCGCAATTTTGACTACATTGCGAAAATCACTGCCCTGAATCGCTGCCTCGCAAAGCACTCCGAGCCAAATTATCGTCTCCTTTATTGTTTTTGTTCAGTTGCCCTCTTCGATTGCTGTGCTTCAATCGCTGTCTGAGCACCCCACCCCAGTTCCCTGGCCGTCGCAGGGATTTTACCCTCGCGTTGTGGCCCAAAAATCCATTCCTTTTCTCTTCCCAGCTATCTTCATTATTACCACTGTCATGGTCCCAGCTATTCTATTTTAGTTCAGCTAGTAAAAATCTAAACATCTAATCTAACTAGCTAATGAATTTTAATGAAACACTTAACTCGTTTTGCCAAACTGAGTCGGCACGATGTTGACCATGTGCCCAAAGAAGTACCAAATAGACTGGAACTAAAAACAAATTTTTTTAATTAAAAAACGTAATAAAAAAAACTCGCTACCACCACCACCACCTCCATTGCCGCGTGTTTGCCTTCCTCTTCTTCCACGACCCCTTTTTCCTCTGGCTCCGACTTCCTCTTCGCCGAAGTCAGACATCCTTCCACCGTTTAAAAAACATATCTAGTCTGGAGCCGTTCCGAGCAATAGAAGAGAGGTTTCGCGTGAGAGTGAGGTTTGGAGGAGGAAGTTTCAAGCGGACCCGCGTGAGCAAGGTGGAAGCAGGGAAGGGGGAATCGAAAAAAGAGGATTTGAGTCTTTGTTGGGAGGGGTTGGGGAAGGCGAAAACGAAAATATAGGATTAGCGAATTCGCTTAAAACTGGCGCGTGTCCCCCTTTTACAGCGCATTCGCTTGAGTCTGGGGCGGACCCGCCTGTGGTGAGGCTATTTTCGCAGCTCACTCGGATTCGTCTTCTCATACTTTCAAAACACAATATTTGTATAAATAGTTTTAAAACCACTAAATTTTTAAAAAGCAATATTTTGAAAATTAGCCCCATTAGTTTCAACGAGTTACAGTCTTATTGGGAAATAGATAATTCAGCATGAGCAAATCCGAACAAAATTAGAGCTTGTCCGTTTGTTCTTTTCAAAATAATATTTGTTTAAATATAAATATTTAGTAATCTAGATATTTCACATTCTTAAATAAATAATTTTTATATAGTTATTATTTTTTTCTTTATATTTAATATGTTTCATTATATTGTTTGTTATTATAATAAACAATCATATAAACAAAATCATTTTGCAACCTTGTATAAGAATTATGTATAATACTACTTTCTAATTTTAAACACTAATTTTATCCTAACCTTTTTACAAATTGTAACAGCTACAAGTCTACAACTTAATCATTATGCAACCACACAGCTTATAGTTGACCCCGATCTCCAAAATAGTAATGACTACTTAACTAGAGAATAATTGAAATTATTGTTAAAAAATAATTGAAAAGTAATATTGAAATTTATTGGAAAGTATTAAATTTCTTATCAAGGCTAGGCATGGCAATGGGTCGGGTCGGGGACGGATAGTGCATATCCGTTACCCTACCCAAAGTAGTTCGGGTTTTACCCATACCCACATGTGAAACGGGTAGAAAATTAAAACCATGCCCATAGCCGTTCGGGTTTCGGGTACCCACGGTTATCCATGGGTAATAATTTCTCTTCATAACTCCAACAAATATGTTATCATTCCCACGTATTCTCACATTACTTCAGAGGAAAGTACGACAATAGTTCACTAGAATGAACAAAATAAATTAAAACAACAAAATTTATGAAAATATTATATTTATATGCTAAATATAAAATATTTTAGAGAAAAATAATGATTATTTCTAGACAAAATATATATGCATTTGTATAATCGGGCGGGTTCGGGTTGGATAGTGAGAAACCCATGCCCACCCATTACCCGCAATATTCGGGTTCGGGTTTTTCCCGTACCCACTAAATGTCCTTCGCGTTCGGGTTTTACCCTACCCGATTAGGCCGGATTCGGGAGGATATCCACGATTACGGATATTTTTGTCATCCCTAATCAAGGCAAAATAAAATAAAAATGTTTTATTGTTAATTACCGGAAAATAGTGTTAGTATTGAGTTAATGAGAAAAGACAAGTTTATAATAAAAAAAAGTAGTGGGAAAAAAAATGAGCCCTCAAGTGGGGAAGTTTGTTTCGCAGGGACTCCTGACCATGGTCCATGAAACCGTATCGGACATCGTACCGGGAAAGTCAGCGGTAGGGTATTTTATGGTAAAACCGTGGTTTAACCGTAGTTCAACCGTTATGCCGGTAAATACCGCCTACCGGTTTAGCCTCCGATACTGGTATTTCGTGGTTAAACCGCCGGTACGGTACGGTTTCATGGACACTGCTCCTGACCTCTATGACTTGCAGCAGCGGGGGATTTGGCGACAAAGAACTCGGCGCTAGGGCGATGTGTTGGGTTACGTTGGTGTTCGCTAATCTCTTTCATCTGTAAGGAATGTTGTCGGCGATGCCATGGAGAGGGGCTGGGATCAGGTGACTAGGGGATCCACTTAGTCACATGGCTAAGTGAATCTCAGCCACTCAACTTTATTAAAATTCAAGAGCTCCTAATAATCCAATTTAATGAAGGGCAATGTAGTAATTGCATGTTTATTTTTATATTTAATTATAAAATGAATAAAAAAAAATTAAGCAGCCCCGCCCGCCGCCTCCCGTCTCCGTCCGGTTGTTCGGCGGTGGCTCCCCTGGGCAATTACTGGGCAGGAGAGTTCCCGAGCTCTCATGCGCCATTATTTCAAGAATTATTCCCCCAGAGTGCGCCATTATTCCAAGAATTATTCCCCGAGAGAGAGATTTTGTACTGTTTGTCGGTTTATTTTGTAATGTTTGTACGCTTTGTTATTTTGTAATGTTTGTCGGTTTTTTTGTAATGTTTGTAACCTTTGTTATTTTTGTGCACCATGTTTATCATTTTTGTCAGCCATGTTTGTAATGTTTTTTATGTCTAAAAAACAACCTGATTGACTTTTGGATGAAACTCCTCTATATAGGGATGAAGCCTCCAAAGTCAACCTGGGTGTTTTTTCTAGTTCGTATGGATTGTCGGTCTAGTTTGTCATTTTTGTCCACCATGTTCGTAATGTTTGTATGTCTAAAAAATAACCGGGATGACTTTGAGATGGAGCCCTCTATATAGGGATGAAGTCTCCAAAGTCAACCCGGGTGTTTTTCCAGTTTGTATGAATTTTTGGTCTAGTTTGTCATTTTTGTCCACCATGTTTGTATGTCTAAAAAACACCCGGGTTGACTTTGGGAAGGAGCCCCTCTATATAGGGATGGAGCCTCCAAAGTCAACCCGGGTGTTTTTTCTTTTTGTATGGTTTGTATTGTTTGTCGGTCTAGTTTGTACTGTTTGTACAGTTCATACGTTTGTAATGTTTGTAAATCTGTTTGTATGTTTTGTCGCTCTAGTTTGTATTGTTCGTATGTTTATATGGTTTGTACTAATTGTAAATCCGGTTTGTATACTTCGTAATTTTCCATAATACCCAAACTACCCCTGTCATTAATTAAATAGTCATTCCCACTTTTTAACCATTGAATTGAAGTGTCCAGATCTAATGACTAGAAGGGGCTTAATCAAGTGACTAAGGACCCTAGTCATGGGATCCGCTCTCCATGGAGAGAGTCCAAGAAGTGCTGCAGAAGTAGTGAAACTTCGGCATAGAGATATGATTTTTGCAATTCGATATCACCCTATTTTGTTTAATGATTTTGCTAGTTTATAGTATATGTTTACTCAATAGGAAAGGGGTTGAGGAAAGACAGTTGGGGGTAATAGCAGCTTTATTTGTTTAAGTTTTCTTGTTTTATTGGAGGTTCCTTCTTTGGGGATGTCCTAGGAATTATTTGATCCTCCCACATCTCGATTTCTTAATAGAGGAACTGATTCAACGGGAAAAAAGAGCCCTTCAAAAATTGTGTGTTTAATAAATTTTGTTTTTTATTGCCAAACACATCATTTGTTTTTATTGCCAAACACATCATTTAATATTCCTATCTAGTCCCACTAATTTGAGTGATTTACACGCATAAAATTGCAGCAGTGACTCCAAATTTGATCTCGCTACGCCATCACAAAATGTAGCGTGTTGGTGAGATGTTTCTAGGTAATAAAAATAAAAAATTTAAGCGATCTACACATTTGCTGTTCTCAGCAAGGCCTTGCATTCTTAGGCCTTCCAATTTCATGTACATAACAACAAAGAACAAAGTGTTTTGACAAGTTTCTTATTGTTATCCATGTAACAAATGTGGATTGAACAAGAACAACAACATTGGACGTTGCCGGTCCATTAGCAATGGCACAGTATTTCTTCCAAGTAAATTTGACACACTGAACGGCTCACAGACGAACACTTGCATACAAGGCACACTCAAATGTGTACAGTTAGTTCAGTGACCAACATATAGAGCAAAGGGTGGAACTGCATCTGATTAAACTGCTATACCCTTCCAGACCTCATCATCCAGCAACAAGCGTAACCCCACTGCTGCTTTGAACAACGCACCTCAGGAATCCATAACTACTTTACCTTCCTAATTAAGCTTCATCTAGTTCCACGTAAACTGTCTGGAAAGGCTGTAAAATGAAACTATCAGCTTTCTTACCTCCTAGACTGGGGAAGGACCAGAACCAACCTTCTTCCACAACTCCACCCAATCCATCATAGCTTCAGCCGCACGACCAAACCCAGGATCAGAACCTCCCAACTGCTCTTTCACCCTTTTCGCCATCTCAGCTACACAATCCTCGGTCGTGGTTGCAGTTCTTGACAACACCATTGATTGGAACCAAGGAACCACTTCCTCCATTAGTTTCACGCCTTCCCACTCCTTCTTCAGACTCTCAATGGCATCACCTCTATCATTCCTCCACACATAAGGAAGCCCACTCTTCACTCCAAGCCCAAGATGGTCGCACACCACCTTCACACACATCCCACTCCATATGTCCTCCATTGTTTCCCATCTCACCTTCCCTTCGCCAGTCAACCTCAGAGCTGGGCATAGTGCCGGCCCTACCAACTCACGGTTAAAAGCAATGTTGATCCCACTGATTGGCATCATTACCCTGGCTGGAATGGTCATCACTGCATCAACATAACGGGAGTTCCTCTTTTCTGGCTTCAGTGCTTGTGTTGGTGCATCTAAGTCTGCCAAGTTAAGCCAGAGCCCGCATGACAAAGCACATGTTACCCCACTTCTTAAGCTAAATGGATACCCACGAACGAAATCTGCCCCATTACGATAAGGGTCATAAAGGGTATTGAAGAAGAAAGGTGTTGCTGGAGTTGCAAGGTTTCTCAGATGTTGAGCCACTGGATCTATGAGAAAACTATCAGCATCTTTGGCCGGCACACAGTCATCGTCAATTGAGACAACGTACTTCTTACGAGAGACGAGGAAGCCAAAATACTTGCATGAATAACCTGAGAAAGCAATGGAGGTGGAACTGCCTACTACTTTGTCTATATGAGACTTTGTGTAGATGTCAATCTTGAAAGAAAGACCTTCTGGTATTTGTAAATCATCCTTGAGATCAGGGTCTTTGACAATAATCAAGTGATAACGAGAAAATATGGACTTCCACGCACTCATAAATGGCCTGAGATCGGAGTGCAATGCTCCAATCACAATGTCAATCTCACCATCTTCAATGTTGTTGACTACAGACATCTTCGGAGACTCTAGGAACAATCAAATCGTTTTCCCCCTTTAACCCCCTCCTAGGAACAACTGATTCAATATGCAATCTAGCGCATTCGTCTCAGAATTTCTCTGAGCATCCTATCAAAATAAAATAAATAATTCAGAAAACTTGGTCAACGATCATCAAGTAATACCTCTAAGGAAACAGAAACAATACTCACTGGTGGGAAGGACGGGAGTCAGGATGTGTTGTATATTGAGTGTCTGAATAAGAGAAAGCACTTCTTCTTTGCCTGTTGCCAAGAAAAGCTTCAGAATTTTCTCATTCAGCTTCCCAGCTCTCAAGGTTCTCTTCTCAAAACAAAACAAACCGAGTGTCACCAAAAATTACATCATGAACCAATCGATGCTTTTCTAATAAAACCATCAGAACCCTTGGAATCAAGAAGGCAAAAACCATCATCAGAAGCATTGAGGTTCATTTTCAAGTAATGTTTGAAGAACTAAGCAAGTATCACAACTCCAGGGCAGCTGCTACAGATATGCTTGATTCAATTAAACTAGTCTATATCCAAAGCCATAGATAATTTAAAAAGCGCTACACCCACAAGAGAGGAAACAACTTGGGTTATGTGAAGTATAGTTCAGACTTCAGAGACCCAAAGGATGCAGTTGGTCAGAAAAGGTAACAGCAGAACAGAATGTTCAAAAATCCGAAATTAGCTCCGTTTAATGAATGAATAACTTTACTGAACTTATGATATATGAAATCAGAAGTTGTGTCCAGTTTAAAAGGGCTTCGCTCTACAAGAGAAAGACACAAGTTGCCAATTGGCATATACTTGAATATCGACTAGAGAAATATTCAACTACAGTAAACCCATTAGAAAAAAAAAAAAAAAAAATTCAACTACAGGAAGTTGCATATACCAAAAGGAAAAGCCTAAAGCAAACCAAGAATCAGAAATGTCCAGTATTCACAATACATTTCAAGACACATAGCAAACCAATCAAGAGAGCACAGACAAAACACCCCCCCCCCCCCCCCCCCCTAATTTGGCACAGCATCGTAACGGGTTTTCAAGGGCGATCAAGAAAAGCATACGGCAGAAGATATTGCAATCCGTTGACTCCATACAAACCCTAAGGCAGAAATCTAAAGGAAGAAACAGATAAAACCATTAAGATTCAGACCTTGATCACCAAATCAAGCGCCAGAAACGAAACCAAGATAACAAAATCATCAAATCAAATAGGGAAGGGCAGGAAAGGAAGAAGAAGGAGAAAAAGGGAAGTACCAGGAAGAGATCGAGCAGAATGTGATCAGGGAGAGGAGAGAGATCGGAGAAGTGAGAGAGGTGAAGGACAGAAGCGTCAACGGCGAGGGAGAGCAAAGATGGTGGCTGAGTTCTCATTCATTCATATTAGGGATAAATGGGAAATTAAAAGGGGAAGGAGAAATTTGAGGAGAGGGGTCAGCAGTGGCAGCAAGCCAGCATAAACCGTATCTTTCTCTGCTCTCTCCTCTTCCACCGACACCGAGAACTGGAATTGCCGAATTGGTCCAACCTGTCAGAAACTCCACGGAATTCGCAGCTGCGCAAAAAGCCGGGCTTTGTAGTTTTGTCCGTCAGTCCGTCCGTCGCCTGCGCCTCCGCACTTCGATACCTATTTCTCCTCCGGCTCCCTCTTCTTTCATATATGTTCTTTACTTCGGTTTTATCATATTGGTTCAAAGCTGGTATGCTACTTTTTTTTGTCAATTAGATAGAGATATCAAAAGTGTATTCAAATGAGGAAAAAGTCAATTACAACATAAATGATAAAACCATGGCAGAGGCTTCAATACGAAACCCGTGCCGTGAGTAAGTGTAGGCCTACAAAATTAAGGATTTAGAGGTCATTTGCTTGTGAGGTTTTATTTTTATAACTTTGCTTGTGAGGTTTGAATAATGAGAGTTTTGACAAAAATGAAGATTTTGGAAAACTAGGGATTTATGATGGATTATGATTGAATTGGTTCATTATAGTGTTGTCAAAACCGAACCGGACATCGATCCGGATTAATAAAAGGTTTAAGGTTTATCGGATAACCGTTGATTAACCGGTATTAAAAACCGGTCATAAACCGGTACTTGGCTATAGAAAATAATAAATAAAAATAGAATAAGAATACAAAAATAGTCAAAACTAAAAAGAAAGAGAGTAGGTGAATGGGGGAATAGGGTAGCTGTGCCTTTTTATTCATCTCGTATTCTCTTTCCATTTTTTTTATTAACTAAAAGAATGAAAAAGGTACGGCAACAACTTGCTTTTTCCAGCCGCCCGTTTGTTTTCCTCCGGAACCGGACTTGTGCCCGGGTCCGGGTTTTCCCGGTCAGACCGACCGGTCCGGTCTGGTTTTCACAACAAGGGACTTCATTATTGTTTTTGTTTGTTGGATTTGTTAATGAATTTTGAGTTATGGACTTATAACTCTAAGAGGCAATTTTACCTTTCTATCCTCACTTTATTTGTTTCTTCTTTTTATTTCTCTTCCTCCAGCTACCCTCATCTCATATAGCTAACCTCATATGCAACACTTGATAATAGTTTGTAAACAGATAATTCATATGCAAATATCACATACAATACTACATAACTAACTACAAGTAGACATGATGGCATGGTGGGGAAACTTCATAAAAATCCTACAGTTTCCGCCATATTTGCTACAAGTAGTTCATCTTCTGAAGCAGAAGTTTGTTTCCTTTTGTCATGTTGCTATGAGAATTTGTTACTCTGTGTTTCAGGAGTTTGGTCCAGGATTTTATCTCTGCAAAGGATAGAGGTTTAGCCACACATTGGTGGCTGTGTGTGTTTTGCTTTTCGACTAAAAATGCAATTAGTACAACAATGTGTCGTCGAGAAAGGGGATTTGTTCTATAGTGGAGGATACGGATAAGAGAAGAAGGAGGAAGGAGAAGGAGAGGGATCTCATTCATTTGCTTTGCTTATATCTACTTGGTGGAAAATTGTTCATAGGCACTAGCCCATCTCTGTTGTCGCCTATAATGTTGTTGTCTACTTTTCTACCTTCTGTGTTTGTTCATTTTGCAAGTGAAGCTGCTTATACGAAGCGTGAGTCGTCCTGCTAGATCTATAAGAATTTGCTGCTCTACTTCAATTTTCAGCATAGTTAGTTCATGATTTTGATCCTTTTAAGGGGAAGAAATCATGAAATTATCCATGTCGTTCAGGTACCATAGGGCTGCCCATATCGTGGTAGTAAAGCCCTATTTTGTTAGACCTGCAAAGGTCTTTTCATTTTTCATTTGTGATTTGACCTGCAGAGGTCTTGTATATTGTTTATACTTCATATCTGGTGTTCCCCTATGGGGATATCTATGACAAAAAAAAAAAGTCACCATAACAAAGCTATTATAGTTTTACATAGCTTTGCACCACTACAAAGTTTCTCATCCATTCCACATGCATCTTACGGATGATTAAGACTTACAAAATAACATGGTCTTCAAAATAAACTTCTCCATCCTGCCCCTTTGATATCTTCTTCCTACACCATCTACCATGCTCAACGTAGTAGGTTCTTCACAAAATAGCATCGATATTCATCCGTCTCAAGAGCATAGAAGACTCGCGTCTTGGATTCATTTTTCGCTAAAGCCATCGCATCATCAATGATTTGACAGTGTGTTAGGCCATCAATTTTTCCCAACTCAGCCATCAAAGCAGTTTGCTTAGTGTTGTTATCCTCACGGTCGGCAAAAATTGATCCAAGTGCCTCTACTGCCTTGCAGAGAATAGGCTTCAGCCCATTAAGTTTAGTTGTAACATTAGCTATGCATCATCGGCGTTACTTTACTCTCTTTTAACCTTCTTCTTGACTCTCGACCTAATGTTAGGTTCAACCTTCACCTCACGAACAATAAATACAATAACATGGACCACTTCTCTTCTTTCCCATGTTGGCACTAAGAAGTCAATCAATACTTATAAAAGTCATCACTACTTCATTAAAATGAAGTATCCAATGAAAGACATTCACATATCAAAACATCCCATGTAAGCACACTAAACACATTAGACTGTCAAAGCTCAGTACCTTATAGGTATCACTGAGTTTTTACACATAATAGTAAAAGCACTAAAAAACATTTTTATAAGCCATAACTAACAACCCAAACAGATTAGACCTAGCAGGTCATCTACCACCCCTATTTCCCCACATATCTAGTCCTTTCAAATTCCTAAATTGAGTCCACTCTTGCGAAGGCTACACTATGAAAATTTTGTCCATGACAGTTTGAGGATATTGCTAAGGTTCCTTGTTCATGTAGTCCCTCTCAAATATGTCGATGCCTTGCTCCCTTTTGATGAAAATATGCAGCAAACAACAAGCATTAACTATGTGGTTCATAATTTCAGGAGAGTACCAACTTTTTTCTCTTAGTATGGCCCACCTCATATGGTTCACTCCCAATGCCCTCTCAAAATAGTTTTGGGCATCAACATGCTTCATATTGAAGTACTCCTTGGGTTTACAGGGCCTAACACCTCCCCACTCTTTTAGATGGTATCTTTAACTTCAGAATGTTGTTAAAAAGCCATCACAGTATCACAGTTAACCTTACCAAGCTAGGCAGTGTTGGGGATTAGCGAGAGTAGTAACAATTTTGGATCATAACAAAGGAAACATTTGTTAGAAAGTAGACTTAACCAAACAAGGCATTATTGTTGGCACTTGCTTTTTTCCAAAGCACACTCGCACAAAAAGCTCTTTTTTCTCTTTTTTTATGCTTCTCTCTGACACACCATACCTCCTAATTACACACACATATATATATATATATAGTGCCTTCTACAATACCCCAGGTGAAATCCGGGGTACCGCATACCTTGAGAATGAAAACACTATCTAGACCTCAAATTAGCAGGGTTTTTGGGCATGATACTATACCCTTACCCTTATTGAATGAACCCTAGGTCCTAATTATCTAAATCATAAACTATAAATCCTAAGATGGTGCATTCATTTGTTTTCCTATATTTGGACGAAACATAACCGTTGATTATTGTTTCTAATTAAATTGATCTTGGGGTATAAGATTTAGAGAAATAAGACCTAGATTTTGATCTTCACGAGTTAGAGTATAGTATCATGTCTGAAAGATCAGTCAATTCAAGGTCTGGATAGCGTTTTCATACTCAAGGTATGTAGTACCCCGGATTTCACCATGGGTACCGTAGAAGGCACCATATATATATATATATATAACTAGATATTATAAAAGAAAGAACTAATAATGCAACTCCCTATCTCTCTCCATGCATTTACATTGGGAACAAGATGATAATGGAATTGGTCCAACTTGTTTCTTATCAATTTGCTGGACGTGGAACTACAATTTATTCACTTGGTTGTAGTGTTATTAAAACCGAGCCAGTCGGGCGGACTGCTAAAATCGCCACCCAGCCTCCAAAACGGCTTGACATAGTCTAAAAACAGCAACAGTTTTATGTAGCGGTTGGCGAGCGGCCGAGTTAACCGCTCGAGCCGCTCAAACCGTCCAACCATTTTTTAGCTTCCTACCAGAATTTTTTTTTAAAAAAACAAGGAGAAAGAGAGTTGGCGCCTCTGTACGTCCGCATGACTTCCTCAATCGCATCACCTACTGCTAGCGAACCCCACACTACAACATCTGCTAAATACAACGTGGTCCTTTGCTTCCGTATACGTGGCAGTGGATAAGAGGTTCTCTTGTCGGCATCAGCAGCTCTGCTGCTCCTCTACACTCTGTCTCCTGCTCCCTCTGGCTCCTGCTTCCATTTACTTCCTTGTCAGCGAGAGGAAATAAGGAGATGGATGCTGAAACGATCGTGAAGAGGATGAGGGGGAAGATGAGGAAAATGGGATCTGATTCCCACAAGAGAGGCGAGGAAAAGAAACAAAAAAAAAGAAGGAAAGAGAGAGAGAGAGTGGGAAAGAGAGGTAGGTCAGATATGGAAGGGTAGAAATTGAACCCCTAGTTCACAGCTGGTTGCCACTTTTTATTAGTAAAATATCTCTTTGTACATTTCCTTACTGTCCTTCTTTGTTTATCGTAGATAAGGAGGGATTGTAACCGGGTTGAAGCTATTCATGTAGAGGTGGCAATCGATCAACACATATCTTTAAGGTAAGGTAAGGATATGACGCTCACTGTTCTAATGTACCTGATGATTGCGAGGCCCTTTACACAAGTTATTAGCAAAGGTGAGAAAAAATGTGCTTTATAAATAAGAATAAACGTTGGGAAAGACACTCACATCTATTCTCTATTCCTATCTCCTAAGCGTCTGAAGTTTCAAAGGGGAGCTATCCCATTGTAAAGAAAAGGATTTTAACCCGAGCATGCAAGCTGTATTCGAGGAAGCGTAAGCTGTGAGAAAAGCTAGAATACACGGACCTAAGCCAACCTTGACAGATAAGGGCAACACGTAGCCATCCATAGCCTAGGGAGAGTAAAAATGGAATGGAATTCTATTATAAAAATAAAGACTTCCTTCTTGCTCGAGTTATGGCTTCTGTTAGGTGAGATTTCTTAGGATAGAGCGGGAGTGACTGCTGATGCATGAACGCAAGGAGCGAGAGTGAGTGCATGGCTTAAAAGGAGTGAGTGTAGGAAATGTCTCGAGCAAGTCCTACCTAGTATCTGATGACACTTCGACCTAGAATGCGTATTTTAAGGTGGGAAAGGAAAAGCTATCAATC